GACACAGATTTAATTCTTGCTAAACATGAATGAAAGTACCTCTCTTCCCCCCTCCAGTTAGAAATGGCATTTTTATTCCAGGAGCATACAAAGACATCTAAACAATTCGAGTCATCTAGAACTGCTGCATAACTGAGCTGCTGGGCTTGGTCACTAACAGGTACCTAACTGTGCCAGTTTACTGATCTTCATTCCTTCCCGTAACTGAAGCTGGAAGAGAGTTAGCAGGGATTCATTGCAGGGTTTGAAAATGCCTTTGTTTTGAATTGAAAATGACAGTGAATTTTATCACTTCATCAATATATTTGTGATTCTTTCACTATATTTTTCTTCATCCTTGAGTAAAATTAAAGATGTGGCATGATTTGGCCTAATCTCTCATTTCAATAAACCCTAATAGATTTTTGACCACTCCTGGAATTACAGATCCCAATTGAAATAATAGTTATTTTATGTACCTATTGCAATAGGATACATGAATTTATTAATTTAATAATCACTACAATAATGAGGCAGTTACTCATTGCCTCAACTTTAAAAAAAAGGTCTCATTGGTGAATTAAATTGACCAGAATCTCTAAATGTCAGAATCAGATTTTTGAGCTAGATGCTTTTGATTTTAGACCTTAATTTTTGACATTTAATTTTGGATGTTTTGGAAAATATCTTAAGTTCTGAAAACTAAATTTTAATGTAAACATTTCACTAAATTCTAATCATGTTAATGTTGATTTTAGGAGTAGATGGTATACCAAAGGAAAGTAAGATGGATAATATTTTTCTGACTTAATTTTTTTATTTGCTAAGGATTTATACAACTATGAAAATGAAACAGTATCTCTGCCTTAAAGTATCTTAATTTCCTAGAGGCATAGTAGTAACAGGCTGACCAGTTAGAAGGCTGTTACAGCAGCTTAATTTGGTGAAAATTGTGTTTTCAACTTGAAAGGTTAGAGTTGAGGTGGTGAGAAGTGGTGGAACTGAAAATATATTTTGGAGGCTGTAAAACATCCTGCTTGTTTGAGGATCACACTAGAATCAAGGATGTCTCCTGGGATTGCGTGTCTATATGTGGGTGAATTATGGTGCTACTTAGATAGGAAAGATTTCTTTGGGAGTCAAGTTAATATTTATACAGGTTTAGAAATTCAGTATTTTAGGTCTTATCAGTTTTGCTGGTTTTCTATCTCTATATCTTGAGGTCTCCATCAGTACTCAGATGGACTTTTTGCTAATCACTCCAAAAAGACTAGGTCAGGGCTGAATGGGGTTCGGGGAGCAATCAGGTTTTTTCCCCCTCAAAGTCGTCTTGACAAAATATAGAATAAAGAAGATAGACTGAAAGTCAGTTCTGTGGCTACCCTGGTCAGAGAATGGGATGGAGTGGGAAGGTAGGAGCCAGATGGGTGTGATTAGAGAGAGCTTCTACAAGCGTTGGCACCAGAATGATCCTAACAAAGGCATCTACGTAATGAATTCTATTTCCTCTGCTTTTAACATACGTAGTGTAACCTAGGTAGCTACAGAGAAAACTGCTGCAAGATTCATGGTTTAATTGTGAGAAAGCTAATCAAATATTTCCACATGAGTTCATTATACTAACATATGCTTTGGGTAATACAAAAAAATTGCAGATGTGGTTCTTACCAAGAATACTTTAGATGAAGTACATATGACTACTTGAAAATTTCATTATGTGCTTACCTTATTCTGCATGTGTATGATAGAAGAGTTGCTTTACCTTGGGGTAAGGCCACAGTGCTGGTATAGTTTGAGTTGCATATAATACAATAATTTTAATTTTGTTTTTAATTGTAAGGTAAATATAAACTTTAACATCTAACCATTTTTAAGCATGCAGTTCAGTAGTGTTAAGTCCATTCATGTTGCTGTGCAACCAATCTCCAAGAATTCTTTTCATCTTATGAAACTATTAACTCTACACTCATTAAACAACTTTGCGGCCACCATGTGATAATTGGTGCTGCTCAGACTTTTTGATGTCGCAACTCCTTTACACTATGAGGAATATTGAATTCCAAAGGGCTTTTGTTTATATAGTTTTTATCCATCCAAATCACCACGTGAGAAATTGAAACTGAATTTAAAAGTATTAAATAGTTTAAAATAACTAATAAACCCATCATGTATTAACATAAATAAAATACATTTTAACAAAAAATAACTTCAAAAATAGAAGAGAGATATTGTTTTACACTCACACTTTTGCAAGTCTCTTGTCTGGGTTAATAGAAGCTATTTGGATTTTCATATCTGCTTCTGCATTCAGTCTTTGTGACATGTCACTTGGCCAAAGTATATAAAGAAAACTCTGCCTCACATAGTTATATAGTTGGAAAAGGGAAGAAAATTTTAATACCCTTTTCAGGTAACTGTGGCTATTCTTTGGTACTCCACCAAAACTATACAAGGGGTAGTTTCTTCAAGGTTTGTTGCAATATGGAATCTGAAAATATTCCAAACTTTTCATATTTAGTTACATTAAAAATCCATTGCTTCCTCTTGCATTTTGCTCATGCTTGGTTATATATATAACACCATGGACTGATCTTTTATAAAATATTGGTTCACTGAGTTATGCAGATCTTCTAAAAAGTGACATTTCATTATGTAATATAAAAATCACAGTTTAAAATATCACCAATGAGTTGTCAAACTCATAGTAGGGAATACAATTTTTCCATAACTCTAATTTTTACTTGTAAGCTTGAGTTTTATCACTGTGTATAAATACTGTCAGTTTTCTTTGAAGCGATAAGTTTACTACATCTTTACAAGTAAAGATGATGTTCTGTGTCAAAAGTGGCGAGTTCATCTCACATCTCAAACAATTGCGCAGTGTTTCCTTGAGACGATCTTCATACTTTGATACGCAGCAGGAGTGTATTATGCATAATTTTGTCACTCAGAATACTAAAAAGACATGCACTCAGGGGTTGACACTTAATGAATACTTTTTACTGCTTCAAGTCTTAAGCAAAACTGGCTTTTTCTTTACCGTTGAGCACATCAGGGTGAAGAGTACAATGACAGCTAACACAGTCTGATGCCACTGCCTTGATTAGTGCCCAGGAGGCAGCGGTGTTTCCTGCCATAGTTTTTGCATACTTGTGCAAATGTCAAAAGACAAGTATCTTAATATTATCGTGAAAGTAGCTTTGATCCTGTGGACCTCTCAGTCATCCAAGGACCACATATGGAGAACCACTGCAGTAGAAGAATGTCCTTATTTGTTGGATATAGACTCTAAAACATTTAGGGGCAAACGGGGCATCATATCAGCAACTTTCAAAAGGCCAGGAAAAGTAAAAGTTTTTTGTACTGCATTTGCACCATTTCTCTAAGTTACAAATTGTTTTAAAAAATAAGATTTGTTTTCTCTCTATCCATTTTGTATTAGAGTTATATTTAAATTCCATTACTTTTTCATAGCAAAGTTCCATGTTAAAATTGGAATTTTAGGAAAATGGGCTTTGTTTATTCTGTGGCTTTCAATAATTTTGGAACATTGCAGAAAATCCTAGAACTAAATGTGTTCAAGTTTGAGGAAAATATACTTTATATATTTTTTATACACTATTAACTTTGGTTAGGCTGCTTGTATTTGTTATGTCTTTCAATATTCATAATAAACTCATAAAGTAGATAGTATATATCTCCTTTTTACAGAGTATGAACATGAGCCTTAGCTTGTTTAATTAACTTTCCTATATTTACATAAACGGAGTGGAGAAACTGGCCAATGATTCCAGAGGCTCTTAAACCAGTAGACTCTGATGCCTTTTGGATCAATATTGGATGTTTATATTGGCATGACTTAAAAGATAAATATAAATAAATTCTAGATTACAGAAATGGTAATAACAGCAGGAAAAGGTTTTAAGAAAGGAAAGAAAAAATAACATGCGGATTTACCCTTATCTTTCTCCGATACTCTCTGCCCCTTTGTAGTTGGTCACTGGGTTCTCCAGGCTTTCCTGATGCAGAGCCCTGTGTGGGTCACAGCCTTGGGGATCTCACTGTCCACTGGAGAATGTGATGTTGGAAATGGAAGTCCCTTTTAAACACACAGGAAAGCCCTGTGCATGTATTCATTTGAGAGCGCATTATAACATTGAAAATATAATTCAGATACGACTAAAAACAATAATAGGCATTTAATTCAGACTTTGAATTTTATTTACTATTAATGTTTGATTTCTAAGTCCCCTTTAAAACTACACAGTCACATTTAGTCATGACATATTTTCAGAATATGCAATAAAAATCTTTAGCTGGAACTTTTATTCAACTTGAGTATTGAAATAAATATATATTCATTCTACATACAAAGTTACATGTGTGTATATATGCATGCATATAAAATGCCCTCTTGTTTTATAAGGCTTAAAATGACTGAAGTAAGTATATGTAATTCAGAAAGAATCAACAGAGAGGGATGGTACTGGATTTGTGGATTTTCCTGCTACCAGGAAAGTTGGTTTTCCTGTGGGACCCCATCTCCTCCTAGGGATTTATGTTTCTGATCAAGTCACTTCATCATTTCTGCTTTGATTCTTTCAGCCAAACCTATAGAAATGAAGACATAATAGTCTTTTGATTTCAAATACATATGATTTAAGGCAGCTGTTTATGTGTTAGATGGAAACTTATGACACCTGAACATTATCTAGTAAAAACAGTTCCTAAAATTTAGTATTTTTTTGGAAATGTTATGTGTCACGCCAGCCTCCCAGAAGTTTATAACAGGCCTTGTGCAGACAGTTATCAAATAACACTTTTTTCCTGATATGCCTCTTTGAGCCTTAGTGTTTGGATAATCAGGAGAGCTCCAGCCTTCAGGTGGTTGAGCGTGCGGTAAGCGTACTCTGTCGGCTCCCAAAATAAGTAGAAAAATGAAGGCAGCTGAGCATGAGTTTCCATATAAAATCACTTAAACCAGTCAGCACTTCCTGTTTCCTGTGCAGCCCCAGGCCGGAGGTCTGCCCAGATGAAGGTCTCTGTGGCTTTTGAAGTCTTGATTTTCCCTGCTGCATTGATTTGGCCTTGTGCTGAGAACATCAATGGTAAATGACCAGTTTTAGAGAATGCTTCCTTGAAGGGATTATTCATAGTGATCGCTTTCCCTGCAGGTGTTCTCCTGCAGAGATCTGACCCTATTTTAATTTGCTAGAAAAGAAATACTTTCAGGCCAAGTAGACTTGTATCAATATCCTGAAGATACATTTTCTCTTTCTGCCTAAATGTCTGAGTGTTTGGGCTTTTATTTATTTTTTCTCTCTCTGTCTTGGTCTTCTCTCTATCTTGATCTTCATTTGCAGAGGTTTTTCAGAAATAGTCCTTGGCTCTATGTTTCAGTCTAACTTTTCAAACCCACTACCAATTACAGGTACTTGATTGTATCGTATTGCAAGAGACTTGGTTTAACTGACCTTCCTGCTCTCAGACTCTTCATACTTCTGCTTGATAGTGATATCACTCTCTTATTCTTTAAAGAATGTTGCTCTGACCTTCACTCATGTCAAACTCATCAATGGTCCTGCAAAGCCAGCAGGATAAAGCTAAATCGAAGTCTGTGCTCTCTACAAGTTGATTCCAATTATCTTTTCCATTTTACCTGGAATCCAGATGCTTGCCAGCTTCAAAGCCTGACTAAATGTCATCTACTCCAGGCAGCATTTCAACACTGCTTTTGTGTGTGTGTTTTTTTTTTGTTTGTTTGTTTTTAAAGCAGTCTTATCTGTTTCCTTCTGTTCGAAGTGGGGTATTTTTTGGGGGAATGGATATGTGAATTTCATATTTGTTCATTTGGCCTGTAAATAGTTTAGAGCAAGGAAAACATATAACTTGTGGTATCTTTCCATTTAACCTCAGACGGATCTTTCAGAGTGTCTAGGTTAGTGTAGCTCACCAAGAAGCAGTTAATTATTGAAACGAACAGCACATGTAGAGAAAGAGGAGGGAATAATGAATTCTGGCTGTTTGGGATGAGGTGTGAAGGGTGTTCAGGCCCTAGCTATAGTTCATGATACTTGGGTGCAAGGAAGATTCTGCTTCAGTTAATGTATCCAGCAGCTATGTGCGTGCCTTGGGCTTTATCTCAAATAATTTCTCAGCTATTTGAGAGGCCACCACAAATCATCAAACTGAAACTCGACTTTCTAATGTTAGTATGAAAAAAACAGAGTGAAGTTGTTAATGGCTGTTGAACTCCTCGGTTCTTGCCTTCTTGCAGTAGAAGAATGAAAGCAAGAGACTGCTCTGAAGCAGCAAGCAGCAGAGTTTATTAAAGTGGAAGTTCACTCTTGGGTTAAGAGCAGGCACATGTCGGAGTGGACTGTGGCACTGGGGTTTCTGTGTATTTGGCCAGCGACAGTACACTCCAAAAGGGGTAGGAGCTGGCACATGTCCCAGGAGACAGTGGCACTGGGGTCTCTTCGGTTTCTCCTTTTTGTCTGGTCTCTCCTCCTTTGTGACGTTGTCTCTTCTCCTTTTTTTCCTTGACCAATGGGGATGTTGTCTCCTTCCTGCCATTGGGGGTGGGAGAAGTTTTTCACCTTATGTGGTCAGGCCCAGATGTGTGGTGGTGTCCAGAGCCCACTGCGGTGGAGGGGGCAAGCTGTAATGTATAATGTGCCCTGTGTTGTTTCTGTTACGTTTTCTTGCGATAGTTATGGTCACTCTTGTTATTGTTACAGTAGGTTCTCTTATTCAGCATCTGTTTGTTTACACTGCCCATTCCATACTTCCTGGGCTCATGTCTGTCTTTCCTACCTACACTAACAAAGTCAGAAGCACGGACTTGCTGTGTCCATGCTTGCGTTTCCTTTAAATCCATTTTTAATCCCAGCTGCTGGAACTTTTTTTTTCCTTTAGGAAGGCTCTTCCTAATTATCTTCTCTAGGTGATGTTAGAATAGTATTTCAAACACATGGAAAGATGTGATTTGGAGGTTGCAATCCCTAATGTAGAAGCACCTGCCTTCTCTAACGACCCCTCGACCCCTCGGCACAGCCGGCACCGCCCACTTCCCGCCCCACCGCGTCTCCCCCGCCCCCACCCCCTCCGTCTTTTCCCAAACGGGCACTGTCTTAACCACTTGATGACCATTTATCTCTAGAGTCCAAGGACTACCAGGCCCCAGTGGTGTTGGAGCTCTCTGTAGCCACTTGCTCATTAATCATACAAATATTGCTGAAAAGACTCAGCTCCCCCAAATGAATCCATTACAGATAATGGTTAGTATTGACTTACTGAAGATTTCAATATAGAGGCTATTTTACCACAAAACTCTCATACAACTTCCATCCCAGATAGTGGATTTTCTCTCTTTGGACTATTTCCTCTTCAGGCTGAGACTGTTTCTGGTTCTGGCTGCTCTACTGTATCAGTGCCATGCTTTCTTCTTCTCCCTCTCCAAAAATGTACTATAAAGATCTAAGATCTCTTATTCTAATGCATTGGAATTTATTTCTGTCCCTTATGTATAGTCCTAAATATATGTGTGTGTGTGTGTGTGTGTGTGTGTGTGAGTGTGTATGTATTCTAATTTCTTTAGGAGGAAGCAAGGGTCTCTATGGTTGTGTTTTTTCTTATCCTTGCATGTTGATTTTTTTTCCCTATGAAATAACTGCAATCTAGTTATTTGGGGGTATTATTAGGCCGATATTTTGGAAATAGTGGTAATAAGAAAACCCTTCGTATGCTATTCTTTAAGCCATGGTTACCCTTGCCAGAGAAAGAAAGGCCTTTTATTTATCACGAAGGGCAGAGCTGAATATTCTTTGAGCTCTTCCTTTAGATAGATAACGTATCTGACATTTTCTCATGATGGTTCTTTCCACAGTGAAAATAAGTTGTTCTATGGACTGGGTGATGGTCTCAGTTAGCCCATGTGCGCCCAGCAGCAATCTGTATATATTTGCTGATGAATTATGTCTGGGAATGGGCTGCCCTGTGACTCGGATACAAACATATGTGTATGATTTTATATATCCTGTTCATGAGTGTGGCATCAGGACAAAGGTGAGAACAGTGATTATTTATAAAAATATGAAACGTTTTGTCAGGCTTTTTTTTGCCTGGTATTAAAATTACTGTCTCTTTTTTAAAAACTCTATCTTTGCTCTTAGTTATAGGTAGGTGACAACAGAATTCCTCACTTATCCTTCACTGACTACTGGACCATTTTGTATACGCAGGACCTTAGCACATAGATTTATAGGGTGGTTAGTGAGCTGATTTTAAGTTGTCTTTAGGCTTCTATTATATTTCACAAAAGCTTAGCAGACAGTTTTAAATTTCATTTAACACTTTTAATGTGGAAAGTCACCAATTCAGGAAGGTATATCATATTCAATGTTAGGTCCTTTGAAATCTCCCCATCCTCCTTGAGGACGCATATCAATACGGGAAGTGGATTTTCATTGGGATAAAATCTCTGTTGCCTATTTGGCTAGACACAAATCTTAAACGGCATCATTATCCTGGGATATTATCATCTCATAGATTCCCAAATTTAAGCAATTTATATTCATACTATATAAATATTTTGGGCCAATGACTGATTATAACAGTCACTTTTGAATAAGATGTTGTCTTTATTTTAGGAATCAGAACATTGGAGCTTCAGAAGGTGTTTTAGCAATTTTTCTAGGGATGCACAGCTAGTGGCTGGTAGTTTAGAGGCCCAACCAGAGTGATTACCCTCCAAAGCTTATGCTTTAAACCACTTTGTTATTTGATTTCGAATTCATCTTTCTCAAAAGAATGGTTGAAAATATCTTCATTAATGAATCATAAAAATGGCTCTAAGTGGCAGTTTGTTTGAATGAATTGGATTCTTTTGCCCCCAGGCATTTTAAATCCACTCAGAGATAACAGTCCTCTCTGTCCCCATGATTTGTCAGACCTTTGTGTGTACCTAAGAGTGACAGCCATTTTTGAGATTTTGAATGTTTTCTACCTCTTATTTAAATGTGCATATGCCTCCTCTGTTCTTAGAAATGCCTTCTACCCAAACTTTGTGCTCTCCTAGATTATTTCTGAGGATACACTCCTTATTCAAACTGAGATATACTTTACCCCAAGGAATATACATTGTGACCATCAGAAAATCCCTCTGGAGTGTTCTGCCTCTAGGTGAGTCCAGCAGACTTGGCTTCTTTGGGAGGTTTTAGCTTTAGCTTTACTTATCAGAAGCTTCTGCAGAAGCATAGACTTCAGAGACTATAACATGATTCACCCATAAGTATAATTCCAAACAAATCCCAGATTAGCATTTATAAAAATATTTTAATGAATACTTTTTAAAAATTTTCTAAATGTAATATTTATCTTACAGTCAAAACATATAGAGTTGGAATGGTCCTAACAATCTAGTGTAACTAGGTTATTTTATTAATAACTCAACAACAGAGTCATTAAATACTCAAAAGTCACTTTTAGTAAGTGAAAGAATTGATATTTTTTGACGTTCTGTCCTTCATAATACTCTTCTTTGGATACATTTTATTGTTCAATACCCTGTTTGGTGGAGATTAAGTGGCTAAAAAACTTATATGTTTCTCTGTGTTTATTGAATTCTCCCTGATTACTCATTTGTCAGTGAAATCAAAGGACAATTTATCCACATTTAGAGATTATGAAACCTTATGGAAAGGATGTTGATATAGTTTGGATATTTGTCCTCTCCAAATCTCATGTTGAAATTTGATCCCCAGTGTTGGAGGTGGGGCCTAATGGGAGGCATTCGGGTCATGGGGGCAGATCCTTCATGACTGGCTTGCGGCCATCCTCAATGTGATGAATGAGATCTGACTCTATTAGTTCTCATGAGAACTTGTTCCTGAAAAGAGCCTGGCTCCTCCCTCCCTCTCTCTTGTTTTCTTACTCTTGCCCTGCGATGCCTGCTCCTTTCACCTTCCATCATGAGTGGAAGCTTCCTGGAGCCCTCACCAGAAGGAGATACTGGCTTCTTGTATAGCCTGCAGAACTGTGAGCCAAATAAACATCTTTTCTTTGTAAATTATCCAGCCTCAGGTATTTCCTTATAGCAATGCACAATGGCCTGAGACAGATGTATTTTCTCATTTAAAATTACTTTTAAAAGTTCAAAAGTTTGGTCATAAATAAGGAATAGCTGCAAACTAATAGAAACAGTACCTATGAAAGTAAATTTTGTATTTTTAGAACTCTTCATTATTGAAAACATTGTGACAACTGTACATAAATATTTAGTGTTTTGATATGCTGTGATAAATCCCCTAAGTATGGAAAGATTATGTTCACATGCAATGGATTCGCACCTAAATAAAACTACTCTGTTGGGAAAATTAGGCAAAGAAAGGATTCAATTAAGTAGAGTGGTGGCTTTAAAATTTATGAAATATTGTGAGTTTTAATGAAATATCTTAATTTTTGAGTGTTTTAATGAATAGAGATTATAAAAGTGGTTCTTCTAGGCTTCTGTGGGATTTTTCTCCATATAATTTTACATGCAGATGTATAAAGTTTTCTGTGCTTCAAAATCTTAATATGTTATTTTTCTATTATCAATGTTGGCTGTGTTTGGGGAAAAACTATGCAACTGAAGGAAATGAGTTTTACAGATGTGAATAAAAGTGTATTTTATTTTGTATTCAATAAATATTTGTGTTCTGACTAAAACAAAAAAAGAAAAGCCAATCCTTCGTTTTAATATTAACTCATGAATGCATGAAAGGAAAGTCTTATCAGCTTAATCATTAAATGCACTTTACTTGTAATTTTGTGGAACTGAAATATTGAATCCCAAAAGGGTCCCATGCAAGCTTTGAGACTAAGGGGAATGGTATGCTGATACATTTTTTACCATGTCACCAAAATATTTACATTGAGTGTTATAAATCTGAGTGATGAATCTTGGAAACCTCCTGAAAACCACAGGAACAATTCTATCCCTGTTTAATACACAGAAATAGTTGACATCAAAAAAAGGATTTAAAGCTCAGAGCAAATGTACAATATATTTTAATATAATCAGAGTACTTTTTTGGGAGGAGGGAGAAATTTTTTTACTATGGTAAAATATACATAAGATAGAATACTATTTTAACAATTTTAAGTGTACAGTTCAGTGGCATTCAGTACATTCACATTGTTAATACTCTTGATCTTCCTGTTAACTTATTTCCATTAAGGTTGAGGGATTTGGTGATATTCTGGGAAGTAGCTGAATCTTAAATAGAAATCATCCCTTGATAGTCTCATTCTTTCTCTCTCACACACACACATATATGTTTTCATTCCTATGTACTACCCAGTGCTTAGAGTAATGTACAGTTCTGACCTAAAGAATGCCCTAGAGCTACCGTCTCTTCATAGGCTACTAGATTAATAGTAATGAATAGACATTCCTATTTTGATAGTAATTACTATGTTTGCAGCTTACATTCCTTAAAAAAATGAAGACTAGGCCGACAGAGATATATGATTAGGTTTTTAGTGCAAGAATTTTACTATTATACACAGACACACACACGCACATACAGACACACATGCACACGCTTTGTCATTCACTCATTTATATCCAGATACATCTCTGCCACCACCACACTGGATCAGATTAAGCTTTTGGTGGCTTTTACTTACTGTTCTTAGGATCCATTTGGCTAAGTCTGTTTTACCGGATACACTGGTACTCCACTAAAGCAACCATTACAAATCATCTAAGACCATTCATGGGGAGGCTATCTGGAATTAGCTTTTTTGTAAGCATATTGGCCCAAATCCTATACCAAGAGTCACTATTACCTAGAAGGTATAGTATGCTGGCACTATGCCATACTCCTTAAACACCATATTGAAAATGATCGTGTTGTTAAACAGTGGTAAAAATGACTTGGTCCCAAGTATGCTAATCCTGTCTGCTTTCTGTTTCTCTTTTCTTTAGAAAATCAGTGTGGCTTACACCAGTGTCTACTGATAATGAAATAAAATTGGATCCCAGTCCCTTTATTGCTGACTTTGAGACAACACCAGAAGAGTTAGGGTTATTAAATTTTGGTCAAACTTGCTGTCCCCTAGAGGAGAAACAGAATTTAAAGTTGGTATCATGAATTTTGTTGAAAATAATGTTTTTTTAAATAAAAAATAGTTGATATAAATTTCTTCTTACATATCTGATTTGTAAAAAGTCTAATTCAACAAAGACCCTGATTAGTGAAAATATATTTTTAGATAATTTTATTCAATAGGGACTTATTAATCTAATGTTAACTATTAGGTAATTTATATTATCTATTTAAATGTTGTTTTTTGTATAGTAGATTCAGCAATATGTGTTCAAGGACAACAATTTGATCTAATTGATATGAACTGCCAAGAAATATGTTCTAAATATTTTTTAGTAAGAATAAAAAATAGAAATATACATTTGAATGTGCCAGAGTGGAAACTTTGAACATAGTCTAAAATTTAACATACTAACTCCCAGGAAAGGTAAAATCCTTTTATATGCAGACACTTGAATTTGTGTGGGCTTTCTTAATCAGTGAAGTTGAGTCTTAAAAATAATTCAATGTGACAACCTATTTAGATAATTATTTCAGAAAGAAATTTATTTTCTAGAGTGCAAATAACCACTCCATTAACTGAAATTTAACATTAGGTTTTCCTTTTTCCCCAATATGGTTCTTCCACACTTGGAATAATTAATTGATTGAAGTGGTCAATCATAGAATCATCCTGCCATCTAAGAGAAATTCATTAAATGGTTATTTATTACCAGCTATTTTATGTCATATTTTCCCTAATCAGGGAGTTTACACATGTAATACTACAAAACGCAATTCTGATTTGGGGAGATTTCTTATATCATATATGAGAATTTAACTGTGCCATTGGCTATTTAATTGCTTATTGAATGTACATTTTAGTTGCTGCATCCTTCTAGAAATAGATTTTGCCAAGATAATATTTATTTTTTAAAAATTAAAGTGCTGCTATCTTTTCATTTTCAATAAAATACCTATGGATGTTTACTTGTCAAATAAAAAATTTGACATTGTAATAGCAGGTGTTGACCTTTGGCAGTTAATATAGAGCTGAGAGGTAACACTTCTGCAGGGCTTAATGAGTGTCAGGCAATACACACATTGTAACTTAATCCTCTTAACCTAAAGAGCTATGTATCACTATTATCCCAATTTTACAGATAAGAAAACAACCTAGGTTAAAGCATTTGCCTAAGTCACACAGCTGGTTTGTGTTGGTGCCAAGCTTCAAAGCTGGGTTATCTGCCTCTAAATCTGTCTGTATGCACTCTATGCTTTCCCCACTATACTCAGCTGCCTCTTATCATCTTAAGTTGCTGAACTTTAATAGAAAACAATTACTATTCAAGTACTTACACAGCTCTCAATAAAACTTAAAGTTTAGCAATGGATAGAGAGTGTTTTTACAGAATCTAGAACTAAAATGATTTTATATCAACAGATTTGGGAGGATATTGAGTAGCTGAATGATTGCTAAGAACAAAGGAAATTATTGGGTGTTTCTTCAGTATTACTGTGGTATGAGATGAAGAGCGATGGTGTGGCTAGATTTTAGAAGGGTGGCCCTAAAAACCCTTATCTTGCTATTTCATTTTTATTTTTAAAAAAATTTATGATTGACACATAATAATTGTACATGTTTATGGGGTATAATATCATGTTTCAATACATGCGTAAATTGTGTAATGATCAAATCAGGGTAATTAGCATATCCATCGTCTTAAACATTTATTATTTTTTTGTGATGAGAACATTCAAAAAAATGTTTTTTTAAAGATACGAGATCTTGCAGTGTTGCTGTTGCAGGCTGGTCTCCAACTCCTGGGTTCAAGCAATCCTCCTGAACTCCTGGGTTCAAGTGATCTTCCTGCCTTAGCCTCTTGTACAGGTGGGACTATAGGCACAGAGAAAGAAAGGAAAGAGAATCCCCAGGAGACTTAAAAATCAAGGAAGAGATGAGGGGAGGAAAAGAGGCAGTCTTGGTGCTTTCTGTTTCATTCTATGTATGTGACTGATGGATGAATTCATTAAGAATGTTTATAAAATCCAATGTATTTCGCACAAATAATGGATACTTTGTTTTCAGTTTTGCTGGAGGCAAAGCTAGACTTGGTGTGATTAAAATTCATCAAAGAGTTAGTGTTGATTAGATCATATATTTAAATGCTGGTTTTATTTTCTTGAAAATATGTCCCTGTTTTTCTTGGGAAGTGGAGAGGGAAGCAAGTAAGAGTAGGAATTCTTTTTTTTTTCAGAATTATGTTTTAGTGATGTAATAAAGTTAGAGATCAGCTGTTAAAGAGAAAAACTTCAACATGCCAGGAATTAGTAGATGAGGAATGGTGTTAGCTGTATTATGGCAGTGCTTTCACTTCTATATACATGAGTAAAAATTAATAATATTGTGTACCTAAAAAAGAAATTTATAGTGTCTAAGTTATACTTCAATGAACCTAACATTAAAAAAATGCCAGCCTGGCTTAGGCACAATTATCTCCATCCCACATGAATCTAAATATGTAAAGATATATTTAATAGTACATCAGATATCTAGACTGGGACATTGTTTTATTAGAAAATTAGAATTCTTCTATGAAATATATGTTTTTAAAGAGAAAAATGTTGAGAGGTCAATAGGGATTATGATGGAAAGATGGAAAGAAGATGGAAAAATCAAGGGGGAAAAGGCAACAAGAATCTAAGGACGCTTATATTAAGGTATTCAGGCAACTTCCATTGGAGAGAATCAACCACATTCCAGCAAGGGATGGACCCAAGGTAGGTTCTTGAGCATGGCTTGTGGAACAGCCCCCAGAAGAGCCTACCAAAGGGCTCAAAAACTACCCAGTGAAATCTGCAGGCTGACACTGAGAAGGAGGCAAAAAGTGACTTGATGAGTTACTCAAAGAATGACTCATGAAGGGGCTGGAGAGAGAACTTAAACCAGAAGCAACTGAAAGATGCTCAGGAGGTCCACTTGGCCCATAAGTTGGGGATCAACAAGGTTGATGAGAGTGGGATCCCTGTAGGTGTATATCGCCTGTGGCTTTATGCTAACTATAGGTTGCTCTTCCCTGGGAAGACCCATAGCCATTTATAAACCAGAAATTTAATATCATGGTGGACTGGGAACTCCAGTTGAATCCCTATTGGGATATTTTCTTTATGGATTTAGGTATTCAAGTGGTAGCAGAAGCTCACATTATACAGGTTTTGGATGTGTATCAGAAGGAACTCAAGTTCCTTTGACATACAAAACTTTATGCTGAGAGGACCAACTCTTGTCCCTTTCCTATTCTTCCTTCCCATTGTCGTCTACCCACATAGATGATTCTGAGCTGAGGTTGTTGAGATCCTTAAAGGAAAGTCACAGGCAGAGATGGAAACAAATTATTCACAAAAGTCTCAACCACCACTGTGGGTAACTCATTACCTGACCCTCTCTTCCACCTGTGGAAGAGAAATAACAGCATCTTGAGAAGTTTCCCCTCTGATATTGCTCATGGACTGGTTGAGGCCCCTCAAACCAAGAACGAGAGCAGTAAACCCAGCATCATAGACAAACTCTGGAAACATGGGACCCTACAGGGGGCCAGAGGATAGCACAGAGCTGGATACATAACTATTAATGGTTGGGAATGATCTAAGGAAAAAGAGTGGAAGTTGATCCCTAAGTAGGTTTGCCATATTTAGCAAACCAAAATAGAGGATTCCCAGGTAAATTTGATTTTTAGATAAATAACTTTTTTTTTAGTATAATTACATCCCATGCAATATTTGGGACTGTCTTACCTTAAATACCCAAATATCACATAAAACAATTTTCTTTTTCTGAAATTTAGAGTTAACTGGGAATCCTGTATTTTGTCTGCAGCCCTAGTCCCAAGAGACCCCAGCCCGAGAAAAGCAATGCTTTGGCAGCAGAGGGCAGAGAGGAAAGATGGTCTGGAGGGATGATGCTCATTGAAGAAGGTCTGTATCTAGTCTAGGTTGTTTCTACTATAGAAAAAGAATAAAGGTAATATTCAAATCTGGGGACCCCTCAGCTCCTAAGTCACAGCTGAGGGAAATTCTGAGAGCCAGTGAGTTGGGACACTCCCCAGATAACAGGGGTTCTGAGTAGTGCAGGGGTTTCGGTGACTGAGGAATGGCCCCTCTTCACCAAGAATGTCGTTTGGACAGCCTTAGAGAACAGCATGTTGACGAGTTAAGGATCAGAGTGGGCCCACTGAATTATCTCTGGCGTGTGCTCGGTTGGAACGTGGCAGCCTTACACATGCTGTGTGTCCATGTGAAGCTCCAGGGAGCGGCCCGAGCTAGAAGGAACCCACATCTTTGTATTTCAGGCCCCTTTCTCTTGAAAGCAGTTTCTCACAATCAGTCTCTCTCTAAGGAATTGAAGAGCCTTCTCTTTTTTATTGTTTATTTTTAACTCATGTAAAGATCTTAGTTACTAAGACCCTTACATGCATTCTGTCATTTAAACTTTGTCCGGTTCCCTAAGGTGGGTCTTAAATTTACAAATGGGACAACTGCAGTCTTAGAATTTGAGTAACTTCCGTTCTTGGCTCTTTCTTTCTACAGTTCCAAATTCAACAAGCATGTTGAAAGGATCCACTTTTTTTTTTCCCTTTCACTTCCTCATATCTCTTCCTCTCCTTCCCTTAAGGCACTTTCTTGTCACTCTTTTCTTTCTCAATATTCCATTTGTAGTGGCTCCGGCTAAAACCGGAGGGAAGGATCATATCTTTTACCACCACCCTTTCAGCTATTTCCTCCTGACCTCTGTGTCTATCTTCTATGCTGTCTGTCCGTCCCCTCCCTTTGCTCTGAAACTAGACCCTCCGGAGCCTCTGCTCCAAGCTCGGGTGCCAACCCTGGTTGCAGAGCCCTGGTGTGTTGTTTGCCGGGCTCCTGGGCTCCTGCTCATTTCATGTTCACAGTCTCTCCTCCCCAAAGTGTCCCTTAGTCTTGGTATCTGGCCCTCTTTCTCTTTCCTATGACCAAGTCCCCATTTATGCTCCCTTTGTGTTTGTAGGACTAGGACCTCACTTACTTTGCTGTGAATGGTCTTCTCTCTCTCTCAGCCTCCCCACCCCATGGATCAGGGACAGTGCCCTAGTTCTGGGCCATGCCCTCAGGCCCCGCCCTATGTCCCTCCTAAGGATTGTGATTTGAATCTTCTCATGTTACCTACTTCCTTACACCTTGCTACTTGGCTCTTATCTTTCCATCACCTATTTCAGGACACTTATTTGTTTAGGCTGATTATAGAATTCCTTGTCTAGATGGACCACGTTTGGAACTGAAAGGAGAGATTTTGACAATCACACTGGGGTAACAGACATGACCCTGGCTTCACTCTGCACAGAACCTGGGTCATGAATAGGCTTTGCCGGTTAAATGCTGGGAAAGCTGGTTAACATTTCTATACCATAGTTTCCTCTTTCAAAAAATTGGGTTAATAGTACTATCTAGGTCCTGGGTTATGAGGACGAAATGAGTTAATATCTGTAAAGAATTTGAAGCAGTGACTTATACATAGTAATTACTTAATGCATTTAAACTACAAGTCACATTATTATTACATCTGTGATATTGGGCAAAGTAATAAAACTCTCTAAGCCTGTGAGAACTGCATGGGATGGTGCGTGTGAGGTACATAGCAGCGTTGCTGGCACATTATGGGAAATAAGTGCCTGAGTGAGCATGTTCCCTTCTCCAGACACTTTTCACTGTCGAGTCTATCTCTTCTTCTTATGCAACTAACTGTTCTACCTCAGCCCACAAGCCCTTCCCACTGATCTACCCATATTTGCTGCTTGTATTTCTTTTTGCAACAGTGTGTTAAGCAACGTCTGAAAGCCAGAAGGCAGTTACCCCGACACCAGTTTCCTAATCATCTCTAAGCCTTGGGGAAGCAGATGGATCAGAGAGGCCTCAAATGCAGATGTGATTAGCACACCCTCAGTCAGCCTGCAAAACGTTTTCACTGACTCCATGGAAGTATTGCATAAGGCAAAGATACGTTAAGCCTGAAGAGGCTGCTGTTTTCAGAAAAGACTGCGGGAATCATTACTGAGTGTCTCCTACTTGGCAACAAGATGTGTTTGGGAGGAAAGAAATCTGCCAAAGACTGAAGCCTCCAAGGTAAACCCTATAGATTCCCTCTCCATAGAAATCCCCTTTTCTTTTCTGCCTGTTAAAGATGCCTCCCAGTGGGGCAGCCGGGGATGTCTGTACAGTTTTCTGTTTGGTTGCTGTGTACCAATCTGGAACATTTAGCTATAAGGATGGCCTCCCCTTAGAATGTGATTGTTACTCTGGAGCCATGATATAAAATGTTAGACATACTGATACAACTATTTCTTTGGAAAAATGTGGGCATCCCCCCACCCCACCGCCCATGAGACATATTAAATCCCAGTAGCTGCACCTGAGTTTGCCTGCCAGCTCTCATCATGAGGAATGGTCCGGACATAATTGAGGAACGGGGTTTGGTGAGTGAGTTTCAGCATAAGCTCAGGGGACAGTATAGTGTAATGATAACCATTAACAGAACTAGGTTGCCCGATTCTGACCCCTAGCTACTCAAATTGCTGACTGTGTGGCCTTGAGCAAGTTACTTAACCTCTCTGTTCTTCAGCTCTCTCATCTGTTAAATGGAAAGGATCATAACAGTAACACCCATTCATAGGGACGTTGTGAGAACTAAAGTAGTAAACATGAATAAAGCACTTAGAACAATGCCTGTCCCATACTAAGGGCGGAGAGATGAACTTAACTGGTGGGTTCCTAGGAAATCTACATCTCTCTGATTTTTTTTTTAACTGAGATAACTTGACCAAATATTATAGATCATAGTTTGCTTTACCTGAAGGCTGAAAATTCTCTCTGATTATTTAAAACAAGTCAAATTAAATAATATAGTTAGAATAGATTTCCTCCCTCCTGAATAGCTCTGGAGTATTTTGGTATGAGAGGCTCTAGTGCTTGAAGACATTCTCTGTTATCATCCATAAGGCATAGCTACATTGGGCTAGACAAAAAGTTTATGTATGTATTAAACATGTGGTAGCTGAGTGCCCATCACAGGATGACACTGAGCTAGGTACTGGGGTTATACTGAGAAGACAAAGAGGTAACAGACAAATATCCAGGCAGTTGAAGCTTAGGGTGATGAAGTAGTATGAGAAGGAAAGTCGAAGGAATTCTGAGAGTAACCTGGCACACAGTAGAAGTACTAAATAAAAATACCTGTTATTATTACTGGAATGTGACTAAAGTCATCAGTCTCACATAAGAGACCACTGCTCAGAGAAACCACATGTCTGGCTGCCCACAACTATTTGAAGAGAGGCAGGGACTATATATCAGCGCATATAAAAATGAGAAAGGAATTGCTCTTTACCATTCCAAAGTGAAGTGAAGTACCCAGGCCTACCACAATGACCTGACAGTATCTACTACTCTAAGACAAAATGAAATTGAACATTGTACAAGCTCTATTATTCTGCCCTTATGCCCCATTTATGGAGAGTCATTTTGATGTACGGAAAGAATTGAACCATTCTATTGTACTCAAGCCTTTGGATTTCTTTTCCATAGCAGCCATAAACAACCACAAATGGCCTCCCAAGAAGTTGATAATGCAGAGCTGGGCACAGCCTCATCTGGTGGTGCTCCAGGCGGCCAGGCAGAACTGGAAGGTGTGAATAATTCTGTTTACCAGCCCATTGATGGATCACAAGATTATCAAAAGATGGGACTACAAACGCTTGGGGTAAGTCCACCTTAATTTAAAAATAGGTTTAATAGGTAAGAAAATAAATACAATTGACCCTTGAACAACACATGTTTCACATGAGAGGTCCACTTACATGTGGATTTTCTTCGACTTCTGTCTGCCACCCCTGAGACAGCAATACTGACCCCTCCTCTTCCTCCTCCTCTTCTGCCTACTCAACGTGAAGATGATGAGGATGAAGAACTTTTTGATGATCCACTTCCACTTACTGAATAGTAAAAATATTTTGTCATCCTTATGATTTTCTTAATAACATTTTCTTTTCTCTAGCTTACTGTATTGGGAATACAACATATAATGCATATAACATACAAAATACGTGTTAATCTGCTGTTAATGTTATCAGTGAGGCTTCTGATCAACAGGAGGTTATTAGTAGTTAAGTTTTGGGGGAGTCATAAATTATATGCAGATTTTTGACTGTAGGGGGCAGGCACCCCAAAGTACCACGTTGTTCAAGGGTCACTTATCTCCTTTGGAAAACACTGTTTACACCCTTAAGGGAGAATATCTGAATTATTCATCACTGAGTCAATGATTAATTGAAGAAAAGTCAAATGGGACTTACTACAGACCTGCAGAGTAGAAATGCAAAAATTCTTTCATGGTAGAAAACATCTTATCAAACCTTGGAAAACAGATTCCAAGACCTTTCATTTTTCCTTTGTGCCTTTTGACCATGCATATCAGGAGGCCAAACCCTATGAAGCTCATATTCCATATTTTAAATAAAAAAATTGGGTTGAGGGAAAGGTTGAGTAGAATACTTCCTACCCTCTGTCTGCTTTTGCCATATTAGGGCCCCAAAGCATGCTGGGAAGGCAGTGGTTCCATCTCTCTCATCAGCCATATCTCCTTCACCGTCTGTCACTTTTGAGAGCAGTCCATGAGAATGAATGGAAATATGGGGGAGAGGTGAAGACGAAGGGTTGTCACTGGAATTAGTGGGGTAGTGTGGACCAAAAAACGCCCTACTATAAGCTCTGGACCAGTTAATTTAGGCTTGACATTTTAACCATTTCAAGCACTGATGTTTCCTTTCTGAGGAAAATTAAAATGGTCTCTTTTCAATGTACACTGTAGAATATGATTAACATGCCTTATTTTTTCCTCCTTTCAGGCCATCCAGATCCTGAATGGAGCCATGATTCTGGCTTTGGGTGTTTTTCTGGGTTCCTTGCAATACTTGACCCACCTTTTCCGGCACTTCTTTTTCTTCACCTTCTACACAGGCTACCCGATATGGGGTGCTGTGTTTGTGAGTACTCATACTCCCTGGCCATAGATCATCCTTTAGACACCACTGCTAGAAACGAGTTTGATTATGAAAGTATTGTTTGTAGGTTATTTGAAGGTTGCATGCTGTGGTTTTGATTTGTAATTCTTGACATAAGCAAGTAATAAAAACCCCTTTCTTTCTGATTAAAAGAAATCACATTTTCTGAGTACAAATTAAGTCACAAAATTAACTTAGTATCTATATAGTATTAAGTTTATGGATACTAAGAAGATTGCATGGAAAATGAGCATTGGTGAATTGCATTATGGTGCAGCCAAGAGTCCTGGCTTGGGAGATAAATTTGTCTGCTGATTACCGTTTGAAAATCAAGTCATTTCCCCTATATGGGTCAAAATGCAATCAGAATAAATAGGCTTTGGGGCTAGGTAATCTTTAAAATTTTTAAATTCAACTTTGTCATATGATTATCACTCACCAGGTGGTTCATTTTTTAAAGTGGTAATGGGAACTATTTGTTAGTCAGATATTATTATTACTATTATTATTATTAGCTTATTTATTCTGATGCTAGACCTTTGAGAATTTATACATATTCAATCCTGAACTGAATATCAAAAACAAAGATACCATGAGGGAAAGATGGGAAAGTTAGTTGAAAATAATGACTAGAACATGTTATTGGCAAATGAAAAATAATTTGTAACAAGTCTTGGGCTCTAATTTATTCGTATTTTTATTTTTTCAAAATTATTATCCTTCACATCTCCTTTGAAAGAAAATCGCTCTTAATTTGGTTAAATTTTCTTGAGAAAAATAAGATCTCATACTCTGATAAAAGATTATACAGTATACTGTTTTTGGATATAGTCTAAAACATTTGGATTTACTATTTCTACACTTTTTAGTTAATATTATTTTGATGGAATAGTTAAAATCTGATTTTTTTCCTAAAAAACCTAGGATACACATTTGCTTTGTATATGAATCCTGACTATCTAAATGGAAAATTTCTATATTGTAGAAGAGAGAATAATGCAGGATTTCGATTGTTTGATCAGGAAAGAGTTTTCTCAGAAAGTGAGATTAATTTGTCAAAAAAAATAGTGAGAGTTTCACTCTTTAGCATCTTCAACACTAATATTCAAATCTGACCATTGGATTCCCAATGTTGGGAGCTTCTCTCTGACTCTGTATCAGCTACACAGCAAGGTCTGAGGTCTATTCCATTGCCCTCCAGATCTGCCCTTACCTGCAGCTCTAATCTAATTCCCCTCCCTCCCTGCTGCATACATGCTCTGTTGTATATTGACTCCATGATCCCTTCTGTTTGCTCATCTTTTTCTTTTTTTTCTTTTTTTTTTTTTTTTTTATTTCAGCATATTATGGGGGTACAGATATTTATGTTACTTATGTTGCCCTTGCCCCCCCCCAAGTCCGAGTTTCAAATATGTCCATCCTTCGGGTGGTGCGCATTGCACTCTTTGTGTATGAAAATACCCGTCCCCTCCTCCCCCCTCCCCCCACCCAACATCCAATAGATGTTATTCTTATATGTGCATTTATGTGTTGATCAGTTAATACCAGTTTGATGGTGAGTACATGTGGTGCTTGTCTTTCCATTCTTGGGATACCTCACTTAGTAGAATGCGTTCCAGCTCTATCCAGGAGTATACAAGAGGTGCTATATCACCATTGTTTCTTAAAGCTGAATAGTACTCCATGGTATACATATACCACATTTTATTAATCCACTCATGTATTGATGGACACTTGGGTTGTTTCCACATCTTTGCAATTGTGAATTGTGCTGCTATAAACATTCGGGTGCAGGTGTCTTTCTTATACAATATCATTTGGTCTTTTGGGTAGATACCCAGTAATGGGATTGCTGGATCGAATGGTACTTCTACTTGTATCTCTTTAAGATATCTCCATATTGCTTTCCACAGAGGTTGCACTAGTTTACAATCCCACCAACAGTGCATGAGTGTTCCTATCTCTCCGCATCCACGCCAACATTTATTGTTTTGGGACTTTTTGATAAAGGCCAGTCTCACTGGAGAAAAGTGATATCTCATTGTGGTTTTAATTTGCATTTCCCTGATGATTAGAGATGTTGAGCATTTTTTCATGTGTTTTTTGACCATTATTCTGTCTTCTTTTGAAAAGTTTCTGTTCATGTCCTTTGCCCACTTTTTGATAGGGTCGTTTGATTTTTTCTTGTTGATTTTCCCGAGTTCTAAGTAGATTCTGGTTATCAACCCTTTATCGGATTTATAACATGCAAAAATTTTCTCCCATTCTGTAGGTTGTCTGTTTGCTCTTGTGACTGTTTCTTTGGCTGTGCAGAAGCTTTTTAATTTGGTCAGGTCCCATTTATTTATTTTAGTTGTTGCTGTGATTGCCTTTGGGGGTCTTCTTCATAAATTCTTTGCCTAGGCCAATGTCTAGAAGAGTATTTCCAACATCCTCCTCTAGAATTCTAATAGTTTCACTCCTTAGGTTTAAATCTGTTACCCAGCGTGAGTTGATTTTTGTGAGAGGTGAAAGGTGAGGATCCTGCTTCAGTCTTCTACATGTGGCTATCCAGTTTTCCCAGCACCATTTATTGAATAAGGATTCTTTTCCCCAGTGTATGTTTTTGTCTGCTTTGTCAAAGATTAGGTGGCTATATGAGGACGGTTTTATATCTGGGTTCTCAGTTCTGTTCCACTGGTCAATGGCTCTATTTTTGTGCCAGTACCAAGCTGTTTTAATTACAACAGCCTTATAATAAAGTTTGAAGTCTGGTAAGTTGATACCTCCCATTTTGTTTTTATTGCCCAGTATTGTTTTTGCTATACTCATCTTTTTCTTACTAATTCTTATCAACTGTTTGACTTCAGAAAAGATATTTGAGCTCTCACCCTTTGATTTCCTCACCAGAGTGGTAGAAACAATATGAGGACCTTCTCTTTGGGGCTCTGAAAGTAAATGGAAAATGTATATAAAACCTTAGTTATTGTTAATAATTTGAATGTTTTCTGTATGCTGGACAAATATCTAAGCCCTTTATATGTATTGTTTCATTTTATCCTCACACAGATATAAGGTTGGTAATAGTAACATGGAGATATGCCCATCTCTATTATACAGAAAAAGAAACTGAGGCAAAGAGGGGCTTAGTGATTCATCCAAGGTTACAGAATGAACATGAGATGAAGCTGGGATCAGAACTCAGAGAGTAGTGACTCAGAAGGGTCCTATGATAACCTCTTCGTTATTTGAAACAGAATTCGAAGCCTGTTCCTTCACATTCAACCAGAATTCAATGGTTGAATTTTGCACAGCAAACTTTTGCTCTCCATGATTTTGGAAACTTTCCTTCCAATCCACAGGAGTAGCTTGGTAAAATGTTGGAAGATTTATAATGTAAAAAAATCAGGATGAAAATTTTGGGAAATTCATAAATATATAGAGAATTTAATCTATAAAAATTAGAGTGATGGAAATAGTAGCATATCAAAGTAATAATTTAAAAATTAAAGGGTACATAGATATGAATACTTAGATTTGTAAAAGATCTTTTAGAACATCTAGTCCAATAAATCAATCCCTTATCTGAAGTTTGGGTAAGAACATGAGAATGATATTATATCTATGTATATATATGTAAATAAATATTATTTACATTTAATATAAATATGAGCATAAATATTATCACATTACATTAACTATATGTATATATTGTATGTTTTTAAAGTAGCCACATGTTCATAAACCTGTAAGAAGCCAAACATAAAACAAAATGAAAAGATCATAAATTTACTCACAGTTTAATTTAAAATTTTAGTCATATAAAATAATGAGCAGCATCATTTTGTGTTCTAAGATGTGAATAAAAAAAAAGGTTTGTATGACTTTTGCTAGATATCTGCTAATCAAGGAAAAGTGAAGAAGAAAATGGTTGAGACTTAATATTTCTTTATCTGCTTTACTTCCTGTTTTCAAACAGTTTATTAGTTCAGGAACCCTGTCTGTTATAGCAGGGAGAAAACCCACGAGAGGACTGGTAAGTGGCAATTCTTCTTTTTCTACAAACATAGGAGTAGAAATAAATTAGTCATTGACAGTAGGCAATAGGGGTTGGTGACCCCAGCCGAGACACTGAGTGTCACTTAATGCTCAAGAAAATTACTTTTCTTCAGTATTCAGATGGTAGCTTATCAAAAAAATCACATAGATTGTGAATATGCATACCTGGGATGGTTGCTTTAAATATGCGATGAATCTGAAGCTTAGAAAAAAGGCTTCTTAATTTTTGTGTGTTGTCAACCTTGACTGATTTTTATTGCCTTGAACATAGGATCTCCCACCACTAACTGGTTGCACAAGTGAAAGTGAGAAATTCCATTCCTTTAGTCATTCTTTAAACAACTACTAAGCCTCTAGTATGCGATCTCAGAGTCATCTACCATTGATGCTCCACTTTCTACTCCATCCATTTCCTTTCCCCCCTCCCTAGATGGCTATTTCACCATTTTATTCTATCCTCAAACACCAATTCCTTTTCTCTCATCCTCACTCTCTGTCGATGGTCTTACTATTTCCTATTCTGAGAAAACGGAAGCCACCACCAGGAGCATTTTTGGACTCCCACATAACATCTGCTCCATGGACTAGATCTGTACCAATATATTTCTCCTTCTAGCCTCTTACCATAGGTGAACCCTGTGATTTTTCTGTAAAGTTGATCCCTCTACTTGAGTATTAGATTCCATTCCTTCCCCCCTCACCACACAAATGCACCACTTTGATTTATCTTTCTCTACTAGATCTTTTTAATCAGCATGTAAGCATCCAGTGACTCTTCCCAACTTAAAAGAAAAGGAAATCTTGACATTATTTCCCCCTGCTAACTACAGGCGTAATTTGTTTTTCCTTCTGTAGCTAAACTCTTTCAAGGGAGTTATCGATACTCTGTCTCCAGTTCCTATTAAACCCACTTCAATAAGGCTTTCTTTGCTTCCCCTCCATCCCTCTGTAACTGCTCTCTTTAAGATCACTGAAAACTTCCACATTGCTAAAACGATGATGGGTTCTTGATTCTCATCTCATTTGACCTCTGAGCAGCATTTAGCACAGTTGGGTACTCACTCTTCCGATAATTTCTTCACTTGGCTTCCAGCGTACCTTGATTGGCTGGTTTTCCTTTCATCTTTTGATTTCTCCTTCTCAGTCTCCCTTTCTGGTTCCTTTTCTTCTCTCTGATCTTTTAATGTTGTGGTGCCCCGGAACTCAGTTCTTTGTGATTTGCTCTTCTCAGTTTTCTTTGGTGATATCATTCGTTCTCATGGCTTTGAATAACATCTATATTCCCAGAACCCTGAAATAAATATTTCCAGCCGAAATTTCTCTCCCGAGCTTCATACTGGCCTGTATAATTACTTCCACTTAGATGTTTAAAAGTCTCAAAACTCCTAGTCTTCCTCCCCAAACCACCTCCGTGTACAGTCGTCCTCATGGTAGCTGATGGGAACTCCATCCTTTCAGATTCCCAGATCAAATACCTTAGAATATTCCTGACTCTTCTTTCTTTCACAATTCTGAATTCAATTTGTCAGCAAATTCTGTTGGCTCTGCCTTCAAGCTACATCAGAGTTTAACCTTGTCTCATCTTTCTGCTAATGACACTTCATCCAATTTACCTCATCTCTCTTCATTGGGATCCCTGCTTTCATCCTTGAACCTCTCCTTCCCAGTCTCTTTGGTAACAGAGTGATCCCTTTAAACCATAAATCTAAGTATGTAACCTGTTTGCTCAAAATCCTTCATTAGCTTCGTATGTTTCTCAGTGTTAGAACAAAAGTCCTTTTCATGACCTGCAGGGCCCTGTGTGATGTGGCTCCCTGATAACTGCCTGTCTTCATTTCCTAATATTGTCATCTTGCCTTCAAACCCCTTTCCCCCCTTGCTTCCCTGGAATATTCTGGCCTCAGGGCTTTGCACTGAGTGTTTCCTTGACTGCAAGGACGTTCCTCCAGATTCCCTCTTGGCTAGCACCCTCAGCTCTTTCATGCTGTCCTAAGTGTCATTCCTGTTTAACATCCCTCCTGTCTCTGGATTTCTGAATTCTCCTTGTCTCATTCCGTTAGCCCATAGTATTTAATCGCTTTCAAAAATACCATGTCATTTATCTATTATAGCATGTTTATTGTTTTCTTTGTCTTTACTGCTAGAACGTAAGCTCCACGGGGAGGGGAATCTTTGTTCATTGATGTTTGTTCTGCACCTGGGATATTGCTGGGTGTGTAAACAGCATTCCATCAATATTTGTTTCAATCAAATGTTACCAAGAGAAGGAAGTATGTGTTGCATATATTAATAGAAAATTCTTATTCTTTTTTAGATGGAAAACAGTTTTGGAATGAACATCGCCAGTGCTACAATTGCACTCGTTGGGATTGTTTTTCTCTCAATAAATTTAGCAGTTAACAACCAGTCAATCAAGAGTTGTCAGTCTTCAAACTCTCCGGACTTATGCATTTACATGGGCTCCTCATCAAACGTATGTTTTTGAAAAATACGTTTAATCATAAAGTATTTCAAATAATCCAAAATGTACAGAAAAATAACATGTCAGGTACTATGCCACTTTGATTTGAATCTTGGGCCTGCCACCTATTGGCTCTATAATAAAGGGCAAGTTAGATCACCTCTCTGTGTTTTAATTTTCTCATTTTTGAAATGAGGCTAATAATAGTACCCATTTCATGGAGTTAATGTGAGAATTAAATAAAGATAATCAATTAAAACAGGGCTTAGCATATCATGTTATACTATTATTAATATTACTACTGCTCCTAATATTACTATGTCACTTCCCAGAGAGATTACATTTTTTAAAAATTTTATTTCATATCTCCTTGCTTAATAAAATAAACTTGAGAGATTTATAGCTTTCTCTGTGGTCTGGAATATTCAAATAATACCTTGAAGTTTTGAATGACTTTACTTTTGAATTTATTTGAATATGGTATTTTAAAAGGTAAGCTCTTTAATAACCCTACCAGATTATATTTGTTTGTGTTTAAGTATTCTACTTTTTCTCAGGTCAACTTAGAAATTAATATTTTCCTTTGAAATTGTCCATCTCACCTGATGGTCTATGATCTGTAAACTATTATTTACTGATTCACTCCTAAGCCTCCTGTTTTCTGATACTATTCATGGAAGTTTGTGTGCTCATTTTCTTTATTATAGTTTTAATTACCTAAATTTATATTTTCACCTAGCTCTGATTTTTTCCTGTGGATTTAGTGGTTTTTTCCCTGCAGACAATTTTGTATTTGTTTTTTCTAGGTGTCTCAGTAATAACAGAAGGATCATTAGTTCAGCAATAATTTTATTTTGTATTGATATCAGCTTAGTGTTAATATCAGGTTAAAAGTTTCCAGGTATAATACATAAGCCCCTATGAAGTATTATTAATGAAATGGTGGAGAGGTCATTTTTGTCCATTGTTCTAAACTGCCTACTCATGTCCTTAGTTTACTACTTTTCAGATTGGTAGATGTTAGTGACAATGTCAGAATTTCATTTCTACAGCTTCTTCTCCCCATGACGACTTCATGTGGGTTGATATAGAAATACAACACATCTCTCTTTTCAGGGAAAATGTTTTCATGCTTTTCGATTGAGTGCTTTCATGCTTTTCTACAGTGTTATGTGCATCTGTGTCTTAAATCTAGTTTATGTTTCACTTTGTTCCATTTTATGGGAGGGAGATGTTGTAGTTTGGTTTCTTGCTATCATTTTTTTCTTCTGAATGTTTCCACTGGGTTTGATATGAGGTGTCCTATCCCATAGGGACTGGTGTCTCTAATGCTGATCCTCACCTTGCTGGAGCTGTGCATAACCATCTCTGTCTCAACCATGTGGTGCAAGGCAAACTGCTGCGGTTTGAGAGAGGTGGGTTTGTTAAAATGGCTAATGATTCACATGGTCTGCAAATCTCTTTCCAGGGTTTGAAGCTGTTACTGACTCTTGAACAGAAACTTTTATGTAATAATGATTTATGGAGTACTCTAGAGTTAGAAATTATATGAATATTAGAAAATGAAATGAAGGCTGAAAAAGAATTCGAATGTGAAAATGCAAGTGTAAACAGTATTTTTAATATATAAGAGCATACATATTTTTTGTACGGCTGGAATTAAGTTATTTTCTTGTAACTTGTCACTTTCTAGTTGTATGACCCAGGAAATATTAATAATTTTTTTCTAGACCTTAGGTATCTTAACTGGAAAATGAAAATAATTTTTTCACCCTCTTCTGATGTTTTTATAAGGACTACATATATAATCTGTATACAGTATTTAGCACAGTAATAATCAATGAATGAATGTTACTGGTGATGATCATGGTGATAATAGGAAGGAATGGGAGGAGAGAAAGATGATGGTCCAGTTCTTGACGACTAATGTCGTTTTATTTTCAAGGCAATTTCTTCAACTCCCAGTTCTGTGGAATAAGAAATGCCTCCTGACGAAAGGAATTCTGAGAGCATGAAAATTCAACCGTAAATCTCCAATGAGTCAGAGATTCACCCAAGAATTCAGGAGAACATGAGCTCGTGAGACTCAATCCTTCTTTTATGGTGCCAATTATAAGAAACTTGGACATTTGACTCACTCCTTTCTATCCTAACTGTAAATCCCACTAGTGTGTTCCAGGTATGGAAGGACAAATATATTTCTTTAGGCATTCTTGGACTTGTAACTCCTATGATCACTACTCCAAAGTTGTTTCCAGAAAGTGATTCCCTTTCTTCTTACCCACCTATTCCATTGCATTATGAGGTTTGAAGAAGGAAGGTGATAGTATATTCCCTATTTCATGTATTCTCCCTAAAATCCAACTTCCAACCACCCAGTGGGAAGGAAAATGAGCCAGATTTTTTTTCATTGCAGAAAAATGCTTCTTCACTTTAGGCGACATCAGCATTACAAAAACCATCAAAAAAAGAAATTATTATTACTAAATATCATCATCATTGAGTTAGATTTTCACTACCTTTGAGCTGGGAGGGTTTAGTCTCAGAGACTTTGTTTTAGTCAGCTTCTGGGGCTTGCACCTGCCCTGATACTTAAATGATAGTTTAGATCGGGGACTTTGAGAGCGAGGTCAACATTTCTTCTTCAAAAGGACCTTGAGAAACATAAAGCAGAGAAGTAAAGAACAGGGCTTTAGGATCTGACAGATCTGGGTTCAAATTCTGACACTGTCACTTATTACCTGTCCGAACTTGAGCAAGTTACTTAATCTCTCTGACCGTGTTTTCCTCATCTGTAAAACAGATGTAATAATATCAGCTACCTTATCAGTCGTTATGTAGGGTAAATGGAAATAAAGAAAGTTGAAATAGTACCACAACTACTTGATAACGATGCTGCTGTTATTGTTGGTCTTGCTGCTGCTGGAGAGAGCTGGCGGAAACCTTCACACTTCCATCACGGCTGTTCCTATGGCCTCCAGCAACTTCAATGGCCATCTTTTAACGTGGAAGTTTGATGCTGAAACTCCTTCTGATTTCTCAGCTCCTGATCTATAGATCGGATGAAGTACTTATATTTTTGATTAATAAATTTTCTTTCCCTTGATACTGAATTGACGATGTCCGTAAATTATGCTCATAAGTTACTCTTAGTTCCTTGCTTATCCTATGTGCATAGATTCTTTTACATTCTTCTCTACTAATCCTTAATATAGCCTACTTCTATAATATATGTTTGTTCATTCTTTCATTTATTTAATTTTTTTAATGCATTCAACAAGTGCCCACTATGTGCCACGTGCTGTGCTAAAAGTTTGGCATATAATAGGGATGATGCATAGTGTCTACTCTCAAGTTGCTCATAGTGGTAGATACAGACCCACAGAAACGTATAAGAGCTATAATAGGAAGAGTATGGAAATCTTGGGAAGCATATAGGATGAGTTTCTAGTCCAGGTTAGGGGAGATGTAGGTGATAATTTTTTAGAAGACTTTTCTTAACTGATATCTTAAAGATGATCAGGAATTAGCATGATGAAGGGGAAATTGAAGAAGATGCAAATGCCTCTAAACTAGGAAGAATTTTGAATACTCAAGGAATGAACTAGAGAGTTTAGTAGGTCTAACTTTAGTACATAATGGATAGATGGAAAGATATAAATTTGGAGAGAGAAATGTATACATCACAGGAGATTATAAAATGGGGCAACTCGGTGAGTCTTAAGGAACAACTGAAAATTTATGCAGTGGTATGTTGGAACCGGCCTGTATTGGTTTGCAAGACTCAATTTTAAATTCCAGGCAGCACAAGTGAACATAATTTGGGTAGCTTGAAATTGGCTATGGTCAGAGTATTTGCACTACAGAGATTGGCAGAGCTACAAATTTTAGCATTCACATATAGATTTTGCCTGTAGCAATTACTACTGTGATGTTCAAAGGTGATTTTCTATTTATCTCATTTCTCCTTCATTTATTATTTAAATTTTTCTATGAGAAAGATTTATCCCTTCTCTCTCATTTATTTATCTATTAAATTATTTATATCAGTAGGTACTCATGGATATTTATGTTATTCTTTTGCTTATGACTAATATTTATTTGGTTTCTCAAACTTTTCCAGCTTTGGTCATAGGGAGCTGAGTTGGCTCCTGTACAGCTTTGTCATACCCCTTCCTTCCCTCCCCTTGTTAGCACTTATTTTCTGGAACTACAAGATTCTCCAGGCATTTCCCCTGCTGCAGACCTAGAATTTCCATTTCTTCAAGGATCCCTGGGTTTTTTTTTATTTGGAGAACTATATTTAGAAAACAATTGTTCATGTGGGATCTGAAAGCAAATTTCTTCAGGGCTTAGGAAAATAAACATGGTATGTAACCAAAAGAAGAAACTTTGCTTGTAAAAACGGAAGCCAGAGATGGAGAGTGGATGAAAGGCGTGTGCAAAGGCCATGCCAGAAGGAGGAATGATATGTGGTCGGGGAGGAATGTTAGCTCTGTTATCTCTTCCTTTTCAGTAGAGGTATGGTTAAAACTTATCTTGATAATTTTGTCCCACCAAGAAAAAGTCATTTTGTCATATGTTTTGATGTTTGTTATTGTCAAAGATGAAAGAGCATGGCTGTAGGGAACCAAAGGGTGGGCACAGAAGACGATAAGCATCTCACAAAGGGACAAGAAGGTGCTTCTGAAAACTGGGATATGAAACAATTGGGAGTTCATGAGATATGACAGTTTCTGATTTGCATTTTGCAAGGTTCTGTTCAAAATTCTCACAAAATAGCACCGTGTCCAAACACTAAAGACCATCCTCAATCTGTTTCCTGTCTAAATCTCAAGTCTGATTCCTTATTATTTAATATACACATGATGAATTATTATAAATGCCTAGGAAACACCATACAGAACCATTACTTCAGGACTTTCCCCAGCAGATATGTGGTGATTTCACTGAGAAAGAGACAAGCAAATGAAAATTCCTGAGGCTGTCATTTTACATCTGGTCTCAAATGTTACCTTCTCTGAAAATTCCTTCCCTGAACTCTACATGCCCCTTATCAGGAAGAATTGTTGTGTCCTCCTGTGTGTCTCAACATCCTCTGGCCTCTGACATATTGAGTAATAATATATCATTTACTTTTGTTCTACTCTGCTTGATTGTGGCCAGATAGGGTCTAGGACCATGGAGTTCATTTATGCATGCTCAGTGATAAGAGCAGTGCCTTGCATGGAACATTAACTCATTTTTGGATGAACGTATAGGTGAATAAGGTTTATTTTTTAATTCCGAAAGCACCTTGGTTCGGTCCACCAATTCCTGAAGACACAGTGGGAAGATGGCACCTGGGCTATTACATTTTCACTATGAAAGGTACACCAATACGTCTTTTAGTACCCTCTGTTCATGCAAATATCTTTGTTTCCCGTGAGGAAGAATTTTATCGCATCCCAGAAAAACAACACAGGTGACTAGAGGAAAAATTTGTAGTATCTTGAAGTTTATTGAAGAATCATTAAAGGTTGTGTCTATAAATAAACTGAAATAAAAGAGATTCAAACCCGTGAATCCTACATGTACTCATTTTGCTATGATCTAGCTAGTTATGCTATCAGAATAAACACATTGGTTTGGCCCTGACCCTAATTGAGGCATACTGCTCAGTGCGATGCTGTTTAGATTTGCCTGTGGGATTTGCTATCACGTTCATGCTGCTCAGTGCTTTCATCATCCTGTTCCTGCCATTATAAAGATCTAAGCAGCAGAGAGTCAGTCTAATGCGTTAGCAGACAATTGAGTCTTCAGTGTGAAAACTTCTTAGCTTTTATACTCTATCAGGTATGGTTTACAGCAATTAGACCTCTGCCTGTCCTGTTTCTGAGACCATCTGCTACAAAGTCGTGTAATTAGTGTCCAAAAGGCAGGAAGAGAGGGAAAGATAATAAAGTCAGAGATGGATCCAGAAATTGGGAGACTGAGATGCACTCATGCACACAAACAGTGCTTTGTCCTCAGGTCTACGTGTGAAGCCAAGTACGCCTTAAACAGGGAAGAGAGGCTTTTCAAAGGTGCAATTGGAGAACTTCTGATACAGAAATGGTTGAATTGGGACACAAGTAGGGAAGGATCTGGAAAGGAGGCACAGAAAGCTCTCTCTGTTCTGCAGTTCTCTCTCACCTTCTCAACTCCCACTAAAAAGTCTCATTCTTAGGTTCTGTGAATCCTGCTAGTCTCAGGCAGAATTATGCTCCACAACTCCCAAATTTCCTCATTTCTTACTAGTCTCTATTCAGTAGGCTTCTCAATTTTGCTGTTTATCATAATAAGAAAAACCCTGTTGATCTTAATCAGCCGGGAGACCTATCTGTCTGACAAATGGGTTATGTATGAAGATAAGCGTTGGTGTCATGAGTCAACTTATTTCAAGTACCAGAGCACCCAGAGCACACTGTGAGAGACAGTCCACTAAACCTCAATATAACACTCCTCTTCTCTCCTGGATAGCCCAGTCAACGAAAAAATGGACACAGAAAATAGCGGCAGAGCACAGCTCGCTCTTCCAAATCCACAGTGGTCCCCCAGGTAAGTAAAGGCTATTATTTGTTTTCAATTCTCAATCACCTATTGGGTCAGAGAAAGCCACAGTCACAGTTCTTGGGAGATGACAGTTCATGGATTTAGGCACGGACCCATCTAGTTTAATTAATATATTGGGTATCAAGAAGCTATTTGCTATACTTTCCAAGTGATTCTTTCTCGCTGGTGGAGATGAACTGGGAATATGAGCTTCTGAGAGAGAGAGGGTATGAGAGAGGAGACTTCATACTATGCGTGTAGATAGATCTCTTCCCTCTGTGTCTAACATGTGCTGAAAGACACATATTCCTCACACATGCTTTTACAAATGCCTCATACAATGACCTCCTTCCTGGGTTGGTCTTTATGAACCATAAGCTGTGGGATGCTGCTCTGAAGATGAAAATAGTAATAATGATTCAACTAGCAGTTCAAAGCCATTCCTTTCCTGTACTCTGTTATATGAAGTTGAGTTTGTCATTGAAAAAATATGTTCAGATACATTTCTAAGTTAGAAGGACTGTGAGATGCATAGGTAAATGTGTTTGATTATATTCAGTTTTACGTATCGATATAGATTAATAGAAAAGAACTTGGAAATAACCCTGGGTTAAGAGAAGGAAGTTCACTTTTTTTTTTTTCCATTTTGTCCCATTTTATCACTTGGATAGTGTTTAGGTGTTCTTGGTCAGTTACTTGGAACCTCTGAGCCTTAGTTTCTTAGTACAATGAAGACTTCAATTGCAGAATTGTTTTGAAAAAATAAACAAAAATTCCCTTTCTATTAGTCAAGGACTTTGTATAGGGAGTTGGAGAATTTTCTCATGACCGAATTTGTGTTAAATTTCACAGTGTATCTGAACCTGGACTCTCAGAAATATCTCTCCATGGTAGTACTCTACCGAAGAAGTCCCCACGACAACATACATGGCTGACATTTCTGAACAAAGAGCTGGAATTCCTGGGGGTGAGTGAGCATCCTCCAACCTCGGCCAGAGTAAGGGTTTCTCTAGAAAAAAATATTTGGTTGCATCGACTGTTTTTCCATTTGAGTTCATGAGGAGAAATAAGCTCTCTAAAAAATCTGGTAGATAAAGAGTTGACACCCATTAAGCCCCTTTGGGGAGAGAGAAGCATTTTCTTATAAAGGGCAACACACGTAACCTAAACATCTGTACACCCATAATTTGATGAAATAAAAAAAAATAATAAGTTACTAGGACAAGGATGGCAAGTAGGAGTGGAGGATTCCTGGTCTCTATCTTTACTTAGATGGAAAGAACAATTATTAATATCCAGCATGACTGCAAATAAAGGCACATGAGAAATGTACTGGCTATCCATGCATTAGGTAGTGCTTGTAACAATTTTTATAGGGTCCGGGGGTACTGGAAGATATTACATTTGGATCACTTCTCAGGACACTCTAATACACTAAAGCAATTTCTGATATTTGGCCTCAGTTATAAAGAAATGGATACAATCCTGGGAAAATATATTCTAATTTCACAAAACCCATGTGTTTTTCTATAGGTAACACAAATTCTGACTGGTTTGATATGTCTTTGTTTTGGAACAATTGTCTGCTCTGTACTCAATGTTTCAAACTTTGAGGAAGATATTTTTTCATCATTTAAAGTGGGCTATCCATTTTGGGGAGCAGTATTTGTGAGTATATATCTACAATTGTCTCTGAAATTGCACTGAACATAGATTTTCTCTTACTCAGATCTAACCAGTTGTTTATCTCCAGTATTAAGATAATATTTATAATTCTTTACATATACATGCTAATTAACAACAACAAAGGATTCTTGCTATAATTAACTGTAGGTTAAGCATTTAGCCCACAGTTTTACTAGACGAGAAACCTGAAACTAATAAAATTTGAATGACTTGGCCAAGGGACATTTATCTAATAGAAATTGAACTTAAACTTTCAGAATGTAATACCAGAAAAATATCCTTAATACTATTCATTAGTAAAGTTACATATAATTTTATCTATCAATTACAATTCTTTACATATACATGCTCATTAACAACAACAAAGGATTCTTGCTATAATTAACTGTAGGTTAAGCATTTAGCCCACAGTTTTATTAGACGA